GGCTGTTGACCAGAGGTGCACTTGACCCCCTTAAGAGGTGCAGGGGTTCCTGGACAATGCAAACCTTGGGGGTGGAGGATGCTAAGGTGTTCATTAGCCATTAACACTGTTTTTGGTCATAGGGGGATTAGGAATACACTAAAATGGGTGCAGCAGAGAGTAGTGTATTGGTGCAGTGTGGCTAAGGTAGCTCTTGGGTGTGACCTGCCAAAGGTTGTGCAAGTTTTTGATGTGGAACAGTTCAGTGCCTGTTTTGAGGTATGCAGTTATAAAAGTCGAATCTCTTAATTTCCTTTAGAACATAAAACTGTTACACAACAGCTGAGAAGGGGTTTTTAATTTTAATAAAAGTCAAATAGAGACTTAACTGCACCCTAATGTCCTCAGGACAGTCATAAAATTCTGGAATTCCTTCAGCTGCACAGACAGGACTTTATAAATATTTATTGAAATTAACTTTATTGAAAATGTCACCTGTGTAACTGGAAGTAAACATAAAGGAGAAATATGTGGTTAAGGGAACAGCTTGCTACAGATAGGCTGTCCAGTTTGCTGCGGGTTTCTGTTCTGTGACCAGCTACTGACACGTGTTTTAATTTTGGTCCATGTCAGCTGCTTCTGCAGTGCTGGTTCTGCACACACTGCTCGGAAGGAACATCTGAAGAGAAACATACTCGAGAAGGCAGATTGCTGTACCCATCAGTTAAAAAAAGTCTGCTGAAGATTCTAGCATCATTGGAAAGAATTGTGTTTCAAGGGGAATCAGCTGCTACTACTGCACGAGGCTTTCAGTAAGCTGTTAGACATTTGACCCAGTACTAAAAGGAAATGTGCAAAAATATAAACATCTGTAATTTTTAAGGCCACTGTACAGTCTTTTCTCACTCATCTCTATTGGTGTTGCTACAATACAGACTTAAATAATTTCATGGGTTTTCCAGTTTGGGCAGCTACTCAATTTTACATAATTTTTGTTCATATTGCAATCTATGAAATTGTCCATTGGTCTTAAGAACCTCACTTTTGAGTGGTGTTTGAGGAATCTGGCATCTGTATTTATCCTGAATAGGTTAGATACATGGGTTTTAATACCCAGAACTTATCACACTCTAGGTGTATAACAGCATAAGCTTCCATCTTTCATCCAAAATTAATTTGTCTTAAAAGATCAAGCCTTGCTGAAACTTGTTTTCAGGAAGAACTTCACTTTGTTCCCACTCCATCCCTCTCCTCTAACACAGGGGAAAGGCTTGAAGCATTAAGAAGTCATGTCAGGAAGTGTTCTAGTGAGGGTCAAACCTTTCACAGCACTGTGCTTTGCCAGCCCCATCTGTTAAAGGACGGTTTGTTAGGAGGCAGATCTTGGGGAATTCAGGCTGGGGCCATACTGCTTCTGGGGGAATCACTCAGCTAGTCGGGATTTGGGTTGTCTAAATATTACATGTAAAAAATCTAAATATAATTACCACGTATAAAATATTAAGGTGTGCCATAAAATATTTAAGCATTAAATGCAAAAAAAAAAATTTTTTTTTCTTGTAGCTTGAATTGTGGAATTTTGATCACAGTTACTTAACCCTCAGTCTACATGTATGCAATGTTCCCTGCAGAGGCTGAGGTAAGTGCAGCTGACTTATGTCTGAGGAAAGGCTGGGTTTTGTCTCCACAGGCTATACTGTGATTATACTGTGTACCTGCACCCTATTAGGGTGTGTACTTGCCCAGGAAAAGATGTGTTTTTGGCTCCTTCGAAGCAAACAAGATGTAGTGTTTAAAAAGTGAAGCTGGCCTAGAAATAAGGTTGTTCTATCTATTTAATATAAGGTGAATTGTCCTTAGCAACAAAAAGATTGTTATTTAACACGAGTGATCTAGTATACTGAATACTAAGGAGCATAAATTAGACTGAAATGAGTTAAAAAAGAGGATGGAAAATGTATAGCAAAATATTTGGATAAGTATTTGAAGGGCTGTTTCTGTTCGTCCGTGGAACATTCCTCTTTCACACAGTTACTGTGGCTCTTATCGCATCAGTTTTTATTCTATGGGTCTTACACATAGGCGAGACTATAAATGAGGCCATGCAGAGCCTGAACTGGCTGAGAAACACCAAGACTTGTCTGCCCAGTCGCAGAGCTAGGTCTAAGAAACTAAGCAATGTTTAACCCTAGAAATTACTTGTACAGATTTTAAATAACTCTTTCACTATGGTACTGATTTAACTCACTTTTTGATGGGCTACTGTGCCATCATTAAAAGCCATCATTAAAATTGAGCAAATACTTAAATATTTCACTGAATCAGGGCTCTATTTCATAGTTTTTTAAAGCCATAGGGTATCTGGGGAAATCATGGAGCTAGCTCTGCAAGTGGGAGAAGTTATCAGTTTTCTTTGGTGAGGAACTTGTCCCTGGCCTTATTAAAAACCTGCTGCATTGCATTCCTTAATTTTAATTTTATTTTTTTTAATCTATGTTGTGTACATATCTTTTCTTCAAGTGCAAAAAACAAAAGAAGTTCTTAACTGCCAGCTGTCTGGTGGCGCTTTTTGTTAGCGCTTGGCAATAGACGATCGATTCATTGGTACAGTCTGTACACTTCCACAAGTCCATCCTTTAAACTTGGTGTGTGCAAATGAACTTCTCAGCTACTTGCAGGAATTAAAGTCATTGTTGCAGTACATTGCTCTGGTTTGCGCTGCCAGGGCCTTACCAAACAGCTGGTATCTGCCCTCCTGCAGGACAGCCCCAAACTCCCTGTTGCAGCACTTGATGATGACTGCTGCCTGCCTGTGTTCTTTCTCTCAAAGACAGGCAAATACTTTAAATCCCAGACTGCAGAATTAAAAAATAGACAAAACGAACCCAGAATCCCCTTCAGAAGAGTTCTTTGGGTGCAAAGACACAGCCCAAAGGGTGTGTGGATGATTTTGAAAAAAAAGCAAACTTTACTCTGTCACTTTCCAATTCACACAAATATGTTCCACACAAGCTTATTAAATATTCATCGATAATGAGTTGCTTAGAGTGATAACTTGACTACCAGGTCTGAAACTTGTTCCGGGAGGATCGAATATTGCAGCTGCACTGAACCTGATTGATTTCAGTTGGGTTCTGCATGGGTGCTTGAGTCCACCTGCACAGAATAAATACGTATGTATCTCCAGTTTTGAAAAAGAAGATTCCATTTTGCAGTGTGTAGGTTGAATTGAAGAGCTGCTTGGACCCATGTTTTCCGAAGTAGAGATGGAATAGTATAATGAAAGCAGTATTACTCTTAGTGCTCATGTTCAATGATTCAGAGAGATGTAACTGCTATGTAACAGCAGGAAAGGTGCAGAATCCAATTACAGCTTTTAATGTTTGGATTTACTGATTAGTTTTATCATTTCAAATGTTCTACTTCTGGTTCTTGTTTGCTTATCTTTGTTACTTGCTAAACATTAAATTGTACGAGAACTGGAGATGGTGTTGTGGGTCATGTGTCCCGTACCCCCCCCCTCCGCTCCCCCATTTTATACCTGTCTGCAACCAAGTGGAAAGAAGGGATTAATGTGAACTTGATAGTATTTTAATGATTTTACTGCTATGAATTGTTTTCTTTTGTTGTTTGTTTGTGTGTGTGTTTTTTTTTTCCCCTCCCAGTAGTGCATGTCCTGTATTGCATTAGTGCTGCAATACGACACTGGTGGGGGATGCTGCTTTATGAGCTATGGTGTCCCACTACTGATACAGTTACTCCTGATTTAATGTAGCCTAATGCTGTTACAGACTGTTCCAGAATTTAAAATTAACATTTTTTCTTTAGCTAGGTTAAGGTCATTTCATCTTTTAGTGTGTATGTAAAACCAAAGAAATATTAGATTCTTATCCTTATAAAGGGATATGAATAGAAGCCTTTTAATGCAAAGAACTCAAGGATCAGGTCCAAAGGATAAAATAACTGCAGGAGTTTTATGCCGCAAGATGTTTCAGAGGTATATCCTTTTTCATTATATGCTGTGTCTAAAGCTGCAGGTCAATTGTTATAATTGTTATAAGCTCATCGGTTTTCAACTTTGTATTTATTTTGTAAAGTAGATGCACTTTATTTTTGCAGAATGTGTCTTTAAATGCTTCCTCTGGTCTGCTGTAGGTTTAAAAGACAAACAATAACAACATAAACCCCATTCCCCCTTGCTTTTTTGTGAAATACACTTTTCTCCAATATTTAGTGTTTCTTTAATTAAGTTTTGCTGTTAATAAGTTACTGTAAGTGCCCCCATCGCCCCGCGCTGCCTGGGCGCCCTGTCTGCCCTCGTGCTTTGGAGTGGGCTGGGGAGAGCAGAGCCCTCCTGCTGAATGGGGTTAAAACTATTCACCTTAGACATGCCCTGCCAGCCCCCAAGGTTTTCCTCAGAGGAAGTTTAGCTGTTAGTATTCCAGCAGAAAATTTGGGAGGAATAGAGAACTCCTTTTATGAGGAATGTAAAGATTGCGCACACGTATATTTAGCTCCTTCACCCTCCTGCAGATTTTTTTGTTGTTTGCTTGTTTCCACAGATGGCAGATGAACTTCCATTTTATCTATGCATGTGCTGTTGCATTCCCGCTATCCAGAAAATACCCGTCCTAGAGCTAACTCCAGTCGCCACCGTCAGTTGAGGCACCATCGCTCAGAGCCAGGCGCAGCTCCCTCGTCCCCTGCCCTACAGCGGGGCCGCAGCCTGTGCCTGCCCTCGCGTGTCCCTGTCCCAGAGCCGTCCCGCTGCCTCTCCCTGCAGCTCGGCGGGCACCCAGGGCTGGGCCCGTGCTCAGCACCCAGGTACTCTGCAGCTCGGGTAACGGGGCAGGGCCCGTCCTGTGGCCCCCTCCCCTCTCGTGTCCCCTGGCGCCTGCTGGGGAGGGGGCCGCAGGACGAGCCCCCCGGCCCGGGGCCGGCTCCCGCCCGTTCCTCGCCCTCCCCCACGGACGAGCGGCGCCGCGGCCGCCATCTCGGGCCGCCCCTCAGCGGCCGCCCGGCGGGGCCGGGGCGCGATGCGCGCTGTGGGCGCGGAGCCCCCCCGGCTCTCCCCGCCCCCGGGGCGGGGCGCAGCGGAGCCCGGCCCGGCGCCGCCTCTGCCCCGGCGGCCGCGGGGAGCTCGGGCTGCGGCGGCGCCGGGCGATGGCGGCGCGGAAGAAGCGCGGGGGGCCGCGCGGCCTCTAAGTAGGGCAGCGGCGGGGCGGGGGGGCGGCGGCGGCGGCGGGGCCGTCGCGGCGGCGGCTGCGCCATGCGGGCCGGGCGCGGGGGGCCGGGCGGGAGTCGGCGCCGGGGGCGGTGCGCCCTGCTGCCCGCCGCGGGGCCCGGGGCGCCGGGGCGCTGAGCAACAGTTGGCCCCGCCGCCGCCGCCCAGCATGAAAGTGTGCCGGCGGAAGGCGCTGGCGCTGTGCCTGGGCTACGCGCTGCTGCTGCTCCTCGCCGCCCTCAACCTGCTGGAGTACAAGTGGCGGCGGGAGCCGCGGCGCTGCGGAGAGCCCCCGGCGGCCCCCCGGCACCGGCCCCCGCCGCCGCCGCCGCCCCCGGCGCCGTCGGTGGGGAGCCGCGGCCCGCAGAGCGCCCGGCGGCAGCTGGTCTACGTGTTCACCACCTGGCGCTCCGGGTCGTCCTTCTTCGGGGAGCTCTTCAACCAGAACCCCGAGGTCTTCTTCCTCTACGAGCCCGTGTGGCACGTCTGGCAGAAGCTGTACCCCGGGGACGCCGTCTCGCTGCAAGGGGCAGCCCGCGACATGCTGAGCTCCCTGTACCGCTGCGACCTCTCCGTCTTCCAGCTCTACAGCACGGCGGGCGCCGGGAAGAACCTCACCACGCTGGGCATCTTTGGGGCGGCCACCAACAAGGTCATCTGCTCCTCACCCCTCTGCCCGGCCTACCGCAAGGAGGTGGTGGGCATGGTGGACGACCGGGTGTGCAAGAAGTGCCCCCCGCAGCGCCTCAGCCGCTTCCAGGAGGAGTGCCACAAGTACCGCACGCTGGTCATCAAGGGCGTCCGCGTCTTCGACCTGGCCATCCTCGCCCCGCTTATGCGGGACCCGACCCTGGACCTCAAAGTCATCCACCTGGTGCGGGACCCGCGGGCGGTCGCCAGCTCCCGCATCAAATCCCGGCACGGCCTCATCCGGGAGAGTCTGCAGGTGGTGAGGAGTCGGGACCCCCGCATCCACCGCATGCCCTTCCTTGATGCCGGCCACAAGCTGGGCGGAAAGAAGGAGGGGGGGGGCGGCTCGGACTACCATGCCCTGGGCGCCATGGAGGTCATCTGCAGTAGCATGGCCAAGACCTTGCAGACTGCCTTGCACCCCCCTGACTGGCTCCAGGGCAATTACATGGCCGTGCGCTACGAGGACCTGGTGGTCGAGCCCATCAAGACTCTGCGGCAGGTGTACGGCTTTGTTAACCTGGCGGTCAGCCCAGAGATGGAGAAGTTCACCCTCAACATGACCAGCGGTCCCGGCTACTCATCCAAGCCCTTTGTGGTGTCGGCCAGGAATGCCACCCAGGCGCTGAGCGCCTGGCGGACTGCACTCAGCTACCAGCAGATCAAGCAAGTTGAGGAGTACTGCCACCAGCCCATGGCCCTGCTGGGCTACGAGAGGGTCGGCAGCCCCGAAGAGGTGAAGGACCTCAGCAGAACGTTGCTCAGGAAGCCGCGGCTGTGACCAGGCAGCGCCAGACACCCCTGGGGGCGGCTGAGCCCCTCCAGGGAGAGGAGCTGGTTCTGCAGGCTTGAAGGAGGGAGGGAGGGAGCTGGGAAAAGCAGCCAGGCTCCCAATTTCCTCTAAAGACTGATGAAGGGTAACATGCAGTAATGCGATGATTTCTTTTTTGTTCATTTGATTGTTTTTTTTTCTTCACTTGCATTGGGTTAGATGCGATTAAAAAAAAATAAAGTGGAACTGAAAATATGTGGAAAGTCCCTTTCCCCTTCTCTAAAATGCCAGGCGAGCTTCTGTACCAAAATCTTGTTTATGGAGTTCTGGTGGGTTTGAAGATGGTTACAAAAACTCCTGCACAATTCCTAATACTTGTATATCTCCCTTGGTGCAGAGGGGGTGCCCTTGGAAAGCGTAATGCTGAAAATAGACTTTTCTTTGAAAGTAAATGTTCAGATATGATAGTAATAACAAAAAACAATAAATGATATTCATTTTTATAATTACCTCAATTGTTTGGGAATTATGGTGTTGCATATGTACAGCTAGAGGGGAGGCTCATTTAATAATAGCAAGGAGGACTTTTTTAAGGGTATGGGTTGAGGGCTGGACTGTAGTGTTTGACGTGTTCAAAGATTAGAAGCTGCTCTCGCAAAAACAAGTACAGATCTCACAAATGCAGTGCAGGTTTTATGGCTATGTCAGAGCAGGTTTCCATATAATGGTTGTCCTTTTTGTTGTATTTAAAAAGTCTTTCAAGTGCCACTGTATTAGTGTCCTAAGAGTTTTAAAATGTTTGCCATCACAGCAGTATTTATTTTTGTCTTGACATATATATCCAGGAGTCACTGTCAAATAGAAGTGGATCTACAGTGTGACAAAAACTGCAGGATTTAAAAGGACATTTATCATACTGGAAACATTAGCATGTGTGAAAACTAAAAATTATAAATATATATATTATATAGTGCTAACGATACAGTGAGATATTTAAGGTATTTCTTGACATTCATTGGTAACAGGCATAGCAGGGAAGCATAGAAAAATACATAAAATGTTTTATTTTCCCCCCTTCTCTAAGTGTCTGAGGGTATATTTATGTATGAGGAGGGAAGAAGCATACAGCTGTGTGTTCATAGTTGTAACGGAGCTGTTACAGAGTCAACCTAGCGTTCGAATTCAGAGAGCGCTGGTTAGAGACTTGCTTGTTGTCAGTTGTCATTGCTCTATGATGGAGCCAGATGGTGATCTGGCTCTTTCTGGGAGCTTTGCCTAGAGACTCTGTCCTGTTGTTCAACTTGATTTAAAAAAAAATAAAAATAATAATAAAAGGATTTTACTACTACTTTTATAATTTTCTGAAGAAGTCCCAGTTTTCTAAAGGTCAAGTGACGTGTTGCATACAAGAAGCGCAAACACCTCAAGTACTTTTTAATCTCGGTGTTGGTCACTAATGCTCTTTAAAGGCTCATTTTGGACCTTGTGTTTTTAAATAGAAGTGGTTTTGTCAAACTGTTCTCTCAGGAGACTACAGACTTTTCTCCAGGAAGTATGTTTTACATTGCCTATCTGTATGTTGTGCTTTCTGCAAATGTGAAGAGTATGGGTAGGAAGAAGGGAATGGATTTGTGAAAATATATTGATACAAACAGGATGCTGATAAGTGTGCGTGTGTGCGTGTATGTATGAAAACGTTAGTGATGTGTAGTGTGTCTACTTCTTGTATTAGACTTTAAGTTAAAAAGGTGATAATGAGCTACTATGCTATTTGAATTCCTGGTGAAATCTTGGCATTAGATGTTAAACTTTATCTGAAAAGGAAATAGACGTTTAATAAACCAGTAAAAAGAGGATTGCATAAGGTTGCCTGTACACTTGCTGAATGACTGTTAAACATGCTCATTGCCTCAGTTCATCATCAACAGCAGCATAAACAACATTAATGATATCAATCACTGGGAAATCTTATAATTGGCCTATTCAGATGTATTCTTAAATTCCAGAGAGAAGTGCTAAAAATGGAAGGGGTAGTTAATTTGGTATTTAAAACACATATTGAGGTACTTGTGTTTTTGTGGAGTTAGGTGTTTTCTCTTATCACTTGTATGTATTCGATGCTGAATGGATCCTGGACATCTAGTTTTGGGCTGAATGTTCCTTTTTTTATTTTATTTTTTTTTTTTTTTTCCCCAGTCACAGTGCTCTGGGACAGTGCTTGAAAATCCGCACTTACAGAGCACGTCGCTTGCTTTTTATCTGTCCGTGGCTTTGTGAAATGCCGGTGCTGCCCGTTGCAACAGCCTCACAGCGTTTAACCAGCTCTGCTGTCGGCAGGGCGAGCAGTGCCCGGGCAGGCTGCGGTGCCTCTCTGCAGAGCAGTGTGCTGCCCGCGGGGAAAACAAGCCCTGCTCCCCTCCGGGCTTGGACGCTGCATCCGCGGTTTCAGCGCCTGCCCTCTGAAAAGCTTTGCTGCAATTTCTAAACGGGACTTTCTCATGACAGCGTGTTACGGCACAAGAACTTTTTATTTTGTTAAAAAGAAAACAGGGCAGTCTGGTCATTTGTGTGTGCAGAGTTCCTTGCTCTCTTCTGCAAGAGTTTTGTGGTTTAGTAAAGTGAACAGGAATTGCCCTTTTGACTGAGAAATTGATGAGCCTAATTGACTTAGCCTCCTACAGTCTCTTTTGGATTCTAATTATATTAAAAAGCTCTTCCTGTTGTTCTGAGAAAGTGCTCACTGCTCTTGTTGTGATGGTGCATTACAAGCATCTGCTATTTGCTGATACAAACGGTGTGTCAGTCGAGTTATGCTATCTGAATCTGGTTCATAAATTGAGCTCCACCTACTACATTGCAGCAAGGAATTACTCAACACACTCTACAATTATACCTGGGCATGTTTTGGTGGACAGAAGTAGTAATGCAAAGCTGCTTTTGTCAAAATAAAGAACTGCAATTTTGTTTAGGCAAAGCTTCGGGAGAAATGTGTGGGACTTTGCTTGTGTAAAATGCTGGTGGGTTAAGCCCTACGTTTTATGCTGCTCCATTAAATAAGTAGGTAAGCAACTGGCAGTTAAAAGAGGCCATTTTTAGTTCTTTTATATATTCAGAAAAGAGGATTAGAGGAATTAAAAAAACAATTGGAAAAAAAAAGGAAAAAATTGTGGAAAATCATAGAGGAAAAATAAGATATGAGAGATTATGAGCATGGTTACAAAAGACTTCTGTCCATTGTCAGAAGGGACACTGAACAGAGGTTGGAATACTTAAATAATACTTGACTCTTATGCTTAAAAATAGTGCCTGGGTTTGCTTTCTTTCTAATTTAATAATTACAGCATGCTTCTTAAACTGAAGATAGTTCTTGCATTAGTGAAGAATCAATAGCATAAACTAGATGCTGAGTGCACTTAGTTGCACTGAATTGGGAGGGAGACCATTTTGAACACATGGCATGTTGCTTCGACAGACCAGAAAGGCCAGTGCTTAACTATGTGCTGTTTTCTGCTGTGAACAAATGCAGAAAATCGTACAAGCATTGCTAATGGTAGCAACTGCTACATGTAATGGTAGCAACTGCTACATGTACAAAAGCGCAGGGAAACTCTCTGTCCTCCAAACACCGGATCAACTTAAAACATAAGATGTGTAAAAGCATGCAAGTTGCTGCAGCTGACCTAAATTAGTGATGAGGAGTTGATAAGGAAAAGATGGTCAGATGAAGTATCTTTGTTTCTTTTGAGCAAAAGGAGAAAATTCCTCTTTCTGATCACTAAATTCTTCATCAGGTGTTTAACTTCATGCTCTGACCGGGAAGAGGAGCAGAACTGATTTAAATTAAGACCACAAACCATGTTTTTCAGTTATGAATTGAACTCAGTTCTTTAGAGATGCAATACAGTTGTTATAATCAATTCTGAAACAAGTGTTTTTCATCCTCTAGGCCGTGAGAAGAAGAGTGAGATTATTCTTTATTTCCCTTCCATTTTTAATTGCTGTAGTGTGTTTTAAGTGTCCTTGAAAGTGAAGGGGTCACATGAGTTTCTGCATTCTGCAAGGGGTGGTCTTAGAGTCTGCATTTCAGTTTTGCTCCTGTGCATCCCTTAAAATGCAGACGTGGGTCTCTTTTTATCTCTGAAAACCAATTGTGTCGCTGCTTAATATGAACAGACTGAACAATGGGCAAATGCTGCCTGCATTAATCAAATAGATCAAAACTATTCTTATTCCAGTGCCATTTCAATTAAGGGTATAGCAGGATAAACATTACTCTGCTGGAATTATGCAGCATGAGACTGCTTGCCATTGATGTGTCCAGCTTCGATGGTCACTGCTCCCTGATAATTACCCTGGCAGTCATTGGATGCAGTTCATGTTTTATATCAGAGCTCACAGGAAAGATGTTATGAAAATGTGTGTATGTGTTATAAAATCAAAAATACATGTAGTAGCATTTCAGCATTTATATACATAAAATACATGTAATAGCATTTCAGCAATATTCATTACACTACAAACACGTAAAGTATAAAAGAAGGTTTACCTGCTTTCTTCGGATTCACTGGTACCAAGTGAGTTGTTAATATACTTAAACGAGAGCTCTTGGCTGTCATGACATCCATGATTCTTCACTTAAGTTATTAATTCTGCAAAGGAAGTGTATAGATCCTGTACAATACAGACTTTTAACACTGCGAGTTGGAAAACTCCCATTTACTTTTCTTTGCAGCTTGGGGTTCCCTGCGATCCCTGCATCACAAGATCATGAAAGGATTACAAGAGTGGCCCTTCGTTATTAAAGTATTTAGCATATGGATCTGTGCAAACCCAAAGAGTGTGAAACATTAAGGTGTCCCGTCTTCCCCTGGTGCATGAAGAGTTAACATCCCTCAGACATGTTCATACAAAAGATATGAAAATAATCTCTAAATGGTGTTGCAAATGGGAGAACTAGGACCAAGGAGTCATCTGCTTTTGCAGTGAAATGCAAAAACTGCAAAATGCATGTAAAGATATGTAACAAATTTATTTGGCAAAGAAAATTCTATAAGGGGCTTATTTGCAGCACAGGGAGGGACCTCCCCAGCCCCCTTATGCAAGTGAGATCTTTGGCATCCAGTTCCATTCTATACAAGAACATGCTTATTATAACAGGGTGGTGCGAAGGGAATTGAGATTGAGCAGTAAGTTACCATCTCTTTGTTCCTGTCATAGAAGTTGTTGAGTAGCCAGGACAGCCTGTGGCTCTTTTATAGTGTGAGGTACCACAAGCTTGTGTCTAGATATAACAGCATTATTCTGATGGGTTTTGAATGAAAATGGAGCTTTTTTTTTGATGAAAATCAGATTGGAGGAACTCTCAGAATGAAAAATTACTAACAAAGCAATCTAAGCAAGGCAGGCTGGTAGAAACTGCTGAGCAAAGTTTTTCTAATGGCATTAGTGGAAGCTGAAGTTGGAATGGGCCTTACAGCTACAATTTTAAGGACTCGAAAGATGCTAGTAAGTTTTGAGTAGGATTTTCAAGAATGCCTTCACATGTAATTTCTATTGCAATGGGAGTATTATGCAGGAGTCAGTGGGAATTATATTTTCAGGGTGCCTCCAAAAACCATAGACTCATAACCACATGTTGGAATAGGCCCCAGGAAGTTTCTGGTCCAAACTCCTGCTCAGATCAGCGTCAGCTATGAGATCAAATGAGGTTGCTTCAGGCTTTATCCTGATGGGTACTGGAAGTCTCCAAGGACACAGACTGTATACTCCCTGAGCATCCTTTTGCAGTGCTTGACAGTTCTTATGGTGTACCACGATGCTTTGGCAAAACTAGCCCCAAATCACTAATTATGTTACATAAATTTCTTGCTGGCTGCAGCTCAGCTATTGCAAAGGGCCAGCAGCAAAATGGTTAGCGAGTAGTGATCTGTGGAAAACTGTGGATACACAATTAGAATTCTGCAACCAGCAATGTCCCTTGTTTTACCCATGAGTGATAAAAAGGAGAGCAGAGGCAAAGAAATTGATTTAGAAGAAAGGAAAGGAATACAAAGCAGAATCTACCAGAAGTTGCTTTTTCTCTGCTATAAGAAGGAGGAGACACTGTTAAGGAAAATGGAAAGAAACAAATGATACAATGCAGCAAGGTCAGAAGAGGATGACTAAAACCATTTGCATGTTAAAAGCAGAGGATAGACACTTAAAGGATATAAGATAAAATGTGCTGATCCTGTGTGCTATAACTATTTGTGGTTAATCATGATATGTGGAGTGAATTCCTCACTTCTAACAGTTTTAGATTCAACTGTTTTGCTCATAATTTCAAGATGAATTTTAAACAGAAATAGT